TCCTGCGACCAGGAGAGTGGCATCAGCATCCCGATTCCCTGCGTGTCCCCCCTTCCCATCCTCATCCCGCTGCCTCTCCGGCTCACATGTCCTCGGCGGTGATGGTGCGGGTGGGCTGGCAGGAGCCGGTGACGCTGTGCCAGGCGCAGTACGGGTCCCGTGCCAGCAAGCACTCGGCGCAGGTCCGGTGCAGGCTACAGTTGGCCAACGGGACTTGGAGGACACCACCGGAGTAGCCCACGAAGAGGACGCCCTGGGGAGGGAGAAGAGCAGGGCTGAGCCTCTCCTCTGCCTCACTGTGCCAGGTTTGGGGTGGGCTGTTGGGTCACCCCCATCCCCTACCTTCCCCGGGGCCAGCAGTAGGTTCTTCACCGGCTCTGGCATCCCAAAGAGCTGGATGCTCTCCACGATGTGGGGACCCTCGCGCAGCTCCACCGCTTTGTGCAGGAAACCCTCCGCTGCGGGGGCACGGGGGATATCACCGGCGTTTTGGGGGGCCAAGGGAAGGGTAAGAGGGGTTGACCAGGCACCCTGTGTGTACCCCCACCTGTAGCCAGGAACATGACGCGGTAGGTGATCCCTGAGAGACCACGAATCTCGTCCACCGCGATGCGCGTGTACGTGACGTCCGTCTTCACCAGCAGCGGCCGCCCGTGGATGGGCGACACCTTCCCGTCCATTAGGAAATGGTCCTTCATGAAGGTGAGGGCTTTGTCGGAGGAAGGACCCATGTAGCACTGCAGGGAGAAAGAAGTCAGTGCTGACTTGGGGAAACCGAGGCACGGGGAGGGGTAAGACACACCACCGGGCTGCCCCGTCCCACCATCAGTTGGGTGCAAAGGCACCCTCTCTCCCTTTCCCACCCCCCCTTACACCACCACCACCATTTCACCCCAGTGCGATCACACGGGGCAAACTGGGACAGACAAACCCCTCCTGATGGGGACCAGCGTCGTCGCCCGGGAGGGTCTTATCCCCTGGGGGTGGGCAGCACTCACACTGCCGGGCCGGGGACTCATGTCGGGGCCGCTGTAGACCGTCCAGCGGGAGCTCTCCTTGTTCAGCTCCTTGTACTTGCCCTTGAAGACCTCTTCCAGAGCCTCCTGGCTGTAGGCACAGACGGCGGCACTGCCCGCCCTGCCCGCCTGCCTGCAGGGACACCAAGGTGGGCATGGGGAAAAACGTGAGTCCCCAGTACACCCGCAGCACCCTTGGGTGCTAGGACCCACCACTGCGAGGTGAAGACGGCGTAGAAGTCGGCACTGCCGTTGCGGCGGGGCAGGGCGAAGGCGTGATGGATGACGTTGAAGGGGAAGTGGCCGGGTTGCGAGCACACCAGTTGGGCCTTCAGGAACGTCGTCCACTTCTTCTGCAGCACCTTGTCCCCCCCGACATCGCTCTGCGGGAGTCGGGAGGATGCTCAGCCCTGGGGGTGGACAGGAGCTGGGTACCCCCCATCGTCCCCCCGGCATCG